GTCCTCTAAAATCTATTACTTGATAATTCACCTGTGGATTATATCATGTTATTTTCTCTTTACTAAGAGGTTCAGGCATTTCAGAAAACATACATATCAGTGATTAATGTTGATACTTGTAAGAAAGCCTTTTTTTAAGGAAAGCCCAGAAGCTTTGTTTATATTTGTTTCACAATGACTTTGTTTTGCTGTTTAGTAGCAAACCTTTACACTGAAAAAATCTTTGCTTAGATAATAGACTCAATAGATTAAAATCCAAATTATTAGAGAATCATAGCCCTAGATGGGCTTGCAGAAATGATACCAGAACCCTGAGACGCACTGACGTTGAGCAGAAATGCACCTGACCCAGCCCATCCCAGTTTCAGTGTTTATGCCATTTTTAAGCAGTGGTACTTCACACAAGGTGGCCCACCTATCTTCTTGGGCCTCAAGCTTTGTCACCCATGAAATAGGATTACATATTATGCAGGGCCGTTGCATAGACATTTGAGATCGTTTATATGTGAAAGCAAGCACCTTGGAAAGTGTCATGCAAATATAAGGAATTATTATGCCACAGTGAATTACGCCACTGACACTATTCACATTTCTGCTTTTGAAGAAATAAAAAACAAAATAATGCAAATCATCCCCTTCCAACACCCACCGCCACACATTTTCAATTGTGTTTTATTACCCATACGCTGTGCTAGAAGTTGTGTATTAAAAAAACAAGTCAGACACAGTTGTTAATTTCTCTTAGGACTACTGGGAGAGAGGAATTAAGGGGAGTCTCTGTTCATCAGAGTGAGAATGGTACTAAAATCCTGCTTACAGAACTTGCACACTGAACATCCCAGGCTGCCTCCTTTGCTGTGAGAGAGAACTCTTAACTGAGGAACCTTGTGTTTTGGCCCTTATGTATTCCACAGGTGTTAAGTATTATGCACTGGGTGAGGCAGTTTTGTAGCCAAATAAAGTTGAGAAACACTCTGAGAAATTATCTGTTGGAGTCTTTTCATCATAAGAAATGCCAGGAACCCACAATTGGCATTATATACAAGAGTTAGAATCTAAAAGAAAAGAGCCTTTCGAAATTTGTTATTTCAGAAACAGTATGGCAAGCAAATAGGAAGGAGTATTTGGAGAATAAAAGGAATGAAACATTTTTCTCAATCTGTGAAATACTGACAAGGTAAGCACTTTGAAATTAGACTTCTTCTTGAGATGTAAGTGCTATGGATAGAATCTAAATTTCTGGCTTAGATTTATAAAGGAGAGACTCGCCTTCTTGCTGCCTTTGTGTTGAACGGGAGGCAAACATTAGGCTCAGACAGTGATAAATTATGTCCATTCTCTAAGGGTCCACCCTAAGACTAAAAACAGGAATTAATCAGGTTTTCTTCAATAGTTGTTTGGCTTAATTAAAACAGGTAGCACCAATATTAGAGGTAATATTTTATACTTTTCTAGCACTTTCTCTATGGGAAGCAATGTTTGTTTGGAAAAAAACTGCACGAAATTTAGAGTCAGGTGACACCATATTTTGGGCTCAAGCTTTCCTTCTATTGGAGAAAAAGCTCTCCTTCTATTGGCTGGAAAAAAGGTATAGATCACTTTCCCATCTCATTTTCAATTTTGTTACCTGAACTGGGATAATCCCCTCCCTCAGAGGCAGGTTGGGAGATTCAAAGAGAGCCTTTTTGTTCTAATGGTCTGAAAGTAGTTAAGCTCTATTTAGCATGAGATGCAGGTTATCTCCCTTCAAATTCTCAGAGACTGTGAGGTGGCACTGGCAAACCCATTGTACGGAAGGGAATGCAAAGTTATGAAAGGTTAACAGACTCACCTAAGGATGCCAAGTGAATGTTATAGCCACATCTCTGTCCCCAGCCATAATGATACTGCCACATAATATATTCCTTTAATATACACAAATATATTAAGATAAACTCCTCACCTGTCATTCCAGTCTCATAGCTCTCCCATCCAACCTCCTCCACTCCAGAGAGCTTTCTAAGGCTAGTTAGATCATTCCCCTGCTAAAAATCCCTACTATGGTTTCTATTGCCTGGTTGTTTCTAAGTGAGAACATGTGAATATGTTCCCTGTGGTCTGTGGAGTTCTTGAAATTGTAAGTAAATTTTGTGCGCATTTTTATGGATGCCGTTTTTATTTTGTCAAAAGGGAGTTTAGTTCATCAGATTATGAGAGTTGTCCAAGGTGTCACCAAGGCCTAGGGCCCTGGCTCGTAGAGAAGCCCTAACCATCACAGTATAGCATGGCAGTGATTAGCTGGCCCTTCCTGTCTTTCTGTTTCTGCAGACTTGAATACTCAACCACTTGTAATTTTTTTCCACCCACACCAAACTGCTTCTCAACTCCGACCTTTTGCGCCTCTCAGAGTCCTCCACTTACCTGGGTTAGAAGCCTGCTGCAGGAGTTTGGCAGTATCCAGCACGTCTTTATCACTTGAAATCATCATGTAAAAAAAAAAAAGTTATATTTCATGAATTACAAAAGTAGAACTACATACCATAAAATAAAAAACAAATTTAGAAAGTGAAAGCCCCCTAGGATCCTATGCCCCTGAGATAATCTCCTTTAAGATTTTAGTATATGTCTTTTTTAAACTTTTTTCCTATGTCTATGCAGATCTATAAATAATTAAACTGTACTTATTTTTACCAAAATGAGACCATTGCTTAGATATCCTGTTCTGCAACTGGATTTGTTAATGTATCAACACATCTTGGTCATCTTTGTACACTTAGAAATTTATGATATATATACTTATTGTCTATTTAGGTGATTCCTTTGATAGTTAGTTGCATTGTTACTTTTTGTTCCTCCTCTCCAATACAGTTCCTGTGACCACTCCTGGTCATATAATTTTATGTACTTATATGAGTATTTCCTAGAAGTGGATAGCATGTGTATAATTTAAAGTTTAATAATACTGTCAAAATCACTCATCCAATGTTCATGTCTGTGTAAATTCCCACCAATATTATACTATGCTTTTTATACTTAATCATTTTTTCATATTTCCTACTCCCACTAGACTCTATCCTCTCAGAGGCGAAGACTGCATCCAATACATCTTTGTGTCTCTCTCTGGTGCTTTGCTTGCAGAGGGTATACAAAATAGACACTGTAAGAACAAGTGAATAAACTATTAATAAGCAGAAGAATAAATGAATAATTCAATAGCACCTTTAATCTTCACACCAACCCTATACTGCAGGTGATGTTTACAGCTTAGAGGAGGCCCTAAGTTTAACCTTTAATGCTTATTGGATAAATGAGTAAGTCTAAGATGGTCTTTTGTCCTGAACTTTACCATAACTAGCCCTCTCTGGTCTTTCTGGGTCTCAATTTCCCTATTTTACAAGGAGGAAATTAATGTAATGATTCTTCAGATCTGCACATACAGCTTGATTTCTTGTTTCTGTATCTTGACCATATGCCATAGTTTATTTACTGCTTTCCAATCTCTAAACCAAATTGTTCAATAACGAAATAACATCTCATGGTAAGGTTACTGACCAACATAAAAGATTCTTGGCCTTTTCAGTCTACTGTGTGTTGTACTCCAACTTTCTGTGCATTATAGGAAACCAAAAAATGGAAAAGTATTATACAGAAAAGGCCAAATAGGTACCAATCAGCATTCTCAGCTATGTTTAGAAGGTATGTCATGCCTTCGACATCACACAAATCATTAATACCCATCTTGCAGTTGTTGAAATACATATGGATGGTAAGAATTACAACATTTGTAGTTTATAGGATTTTCACATCCAAGAACTCATTTGATGTACTGAAGATAATGGGAAAATGAATATGCAGTTTTTAGTTTTGTCAAACTGATTCTCATAAACATCCTGAAAAGAGAAACTCTTGCCCAACTATTTTAAGGATCCATAAACATCAAGGAAAGAACATTTTCAATAGACCACCCATTAGCCATGGTGGACATCATCATCATTTCTAAACTTTTCATGATAGTATTTTTATTTTATAACACTGATGAAGGATGTTGGGGTGTGATGTTGGACATGGTCAAAGTTATAGGCAAAAGAAAATGTAATAAATTCCATTTTATTTACATAGCACAAAGCTACTTTACATCTAGTATCTGACCTTTCTTCTTTCTCTACACACTCTTCATTATCTTAAGGACTCTCTCAACTGCTACTTGATTCTCTCACATTGATATACTTCTGGCGTACTCACCTATTAAACATCCACCCAATGTCAATGCTACTTACCCTCATTTGAAATCTGGCTTTTTGCTGTGCTGGGGAAAAAAAATTACTCAACTTCCTTAACTGGAACGAAAGAACTGGAACCAGAAGGTTCACTTTTTGGACCCCAGTACCTGATAAGACTCATCTCATTTCCTATCTCAAACTTTGTATGTAGTCCCGGAAATCCACAACTGCCAGGATCTCCTTATGCTACCTGACGTTTTTCACCTGAGTGTGAGAAACTTTGACCTGCATGTTTCCACTTCTATAGCTGCGTAAGTCCTAGTCTGCTCTGCCGCCTCTCTTTAGGATGCCTTCCTCTGAGGCTATGTGAGAGGACCCTCTGTATACCCTGACTGTGCATTTTCTATACCTGTTTTTTTCTTTAGTTATGAATATGCCTGTATCTCCCATTTGACTGTAAGTTCTATAAGGGAGAAAGACTCATTTTTTAAAAAATATGTTTTTTAAATATACAACGGTATATAGTGATTGCTTAGTAATTGTTGAACGAAATAGATTCCGACTGTTGTAAACGGGTTTCTAAAGCCTGATAGATGACTCATCTAGATAAGGCAAGCAAATAAAGAGATGTGTCCAAGTTAGCCACTGAATAAGTGATAAAGCTAATTCTAAAACCCAGGTCTCCTTACAGCCACGTCCAGTGTTTTTTCCTCTCCAATGCAAAACACCACTTGTTCAGGTTGAATGCTTGGTTGATGGTTTAGGTTGCAATTAAAGGACTATGTGTTTTCTGCCTTTCAGGGTGGACACCCAGGGTCAGTGGGGCCTTCGTCTGTTCCCTCTTCATTCCGCCCAGAAGATGAGCTCGAGCACCTGACCAAAAAGATGCTGTATGACATGGAAAATCCACCTGCCGATGAATACTTTGGTGAGCTGACTTCCAGAGTGAATGTCATATACTGATTTCCTCACTTAGTAATTAGGAGTATTATCAGCTCTACTGTAAAGTATTTGAGTCCGCATGCTTGAAAATTGGTATGCAGTTGCACACAACTCAGTGTGGGAATCGCATTGGTAGAGTGCCATAAATGTGACATCAACTTAGCTTGCACTAAAATCTCAGTAGTCCTTAGAGTTTCTTGAGGTACAAATTTGATTTTAAGACAAGTTTTTAAAGATAATTTGTTAGCTTCCTGTTAGGCAGAAATAGGGTTATTATATATGTTCAGGTTTTTCACTGGTCTAAAGATTCATATAAAAAATATAGAATTGGGCATTGTTTAAATTATTTACTCTGAATATTTGTTCTGAGTTCAGGAAATGCTATTTCTTCTAGTCCGTTCGTGTAATGCAAATTTATGAATTATATGCCATTCAGGAGGTGCTGTGGACACATAACCTGTTCTCAGTAAGGTTGTAATTGTTCAAAAGATATAAGACAAAACACACAGATACTAATAATTACTAGTCTAGGTAGAAGTGATAAGATGCCTAAGAAGGCTTAGGTCAAAGGCTCTATTTATCAGGAACATTGGTGGTACTTGAACTTAAACACTTTAAACCAGTGCCTTTCAAATTTTCTGTGGTGAAAGAACATTTTCCTCCCAATCTTTTAGAAACCAATATTTTTGTAGAGTACAATTAAAATTAATTACTAGTAAAATAAAAAACACAAAATAGAAGACCAAGTTTTGTCATTATTAGATTTAACAGATAACAAATTACTCTTTTATATTGATACATTAATACTTGTTTCTAAATACTCATTCTCTATTTCTGTACTTGTCTCATCACATGGTGGTAAACAATTCTTAGACATCCATGCACTGACTACTTTCTGAGTAGCACTGCTTTAAGGACATGCAGAGAAGGGACATTTGGGGATCAGTATGAGTAAAGGCACAGAGGTGGAAAGGTTGCACAGGGCTTTCGCCTCTTCAGATATTTCCTATTTTAATGCCTTCTCTTTTGCTTTCCAATAGGGAACATGTAATGACAGCTACACTAAAGGTGCTGCTCCAACACCACACAGTAAACGAAGTGGGAGGCAGTATATGTAAAAAACCATGCTGTTTATTTATATGCAGGTGGCAGTGCGATTTAACTAAGATAGCACAGGGTGGGAATAAAGAAGTCCAGTTCCAGTTTCTTCTGTGCCCCTCACGTTCTACACAATACTGGCATGTCCCTCATCTGCATGAGTCTCCTTTCCCACCTTGGTAAATCAAAGGTGCAGAGCAAACGTTCTCTAGCATCTCTTGCAACACTGGCTAATTCAATATAAAAACACCATTAATCCAAAGAATTATAACAATAAAGCCAAACATAAATTGATGGATATTAAGACAAATGCATGAAGAATAGTAAAACAAAACAAAACAGAAACAAAAATTCACAAAGATCTCTAGTTATATTAAAATACACTAAAAGTATATCATGCTCTTATCATTACAATTGGAAAAGAGTTTAAAATGGGATCTAAGATGAACTTTTTTTAAAAAAAGCATGTTAAAAGTAAAAAATGAGGTCTCTGTATTAGGATATGTTAAAAATGAAAAGTTAACTTATCAAGTATATATGCTTCAAATATTATAGCAACAAATATGTAGCAATAAAGATAATTAAACATAGATGGTAATTGTTTTAATGAATATATATTGAGCACTCTGGGAAACATGAATTATTATCTTTGCCTTCAAGAACTATCCTAGCTCTACTACTTGCTAGCTTAGAAAACTTGAACAAATTACTTATTCTCTTAAATCTTCATTTTTGTTTTTTTCTTATCTATACTACGAAAATAATAACTAGCTTATATTGTTATTGTGAGGAATGAATGAAATATTTATAGGAAGCACTCAGCCAGTTTCTTGGCATGTAGAATATACTCAATATTCAAAGTTCTCCCTTGCTTTTGGGGCTTATGGTTTATTTAAGAAAATAAGATATGCCCATTAAAAATCCATTAATAATGCTTGATTTAAATTTAAGTTTCTAGCAACAGTAGAACATATGTCACCAATGGGTAAATAATCATTGCCAAATGGGTTTTATACTAACCATTTGAGAAAATTTGGGAAAATGGCTTTTATTGAGTGCTTATGATATGGTAGCACTATTTTATGTACTTTACAGGAATTAACTCATTTCATCCTTATAGAAAAACATAACCCTGTGAAGTCAATGCTATTATCATTTCCAGATTAGAAAATTAAGGCACAGAAATGGTTAATTTGCCCAATATCAACAGCTAATAATTTTCAGGACTGAAATAGAATCTAGGTTTATACATTTAAACACCACACTGTAAAGGATGAGGAGAGCTAGTTAGGCTACATATTTAGGCAAGGGCTTATGAAGGAGATTAGCTTTGGACAGATGGATAAGGGATGGATATTATCTTCTACATAGATTATCTTCTACATAGATAGAATAAACAAAATATAAATTGAGGCCAGGATTATTCAGGGAAAATTTACTTTATGTGAAAAACATCCAAGTGCCTGTTATGTGCAGCCTACTCTGCTAGGTGGCGTTGGGAGCAGACGTGAGTCTTACCTTCGAACATTCTGATAGTCTAGTAGGGGATGTGTACAGAGTTGCAATGTTTTATCTATCATAACACAAACAGAACGTGACAAATTTAAAGTTCAGCCAGTATTCTTTGAGAATTCAGAAAAAGGAAAGAGAACATCCAGAGGCAAGAATGGAAAAGTATACAGGGAGTAGTTAGCCTTTGAGTAAGTGTTTTAAATTATGCTAATTGAGATTTGGAAGTAGGAAAATAGTAGAGAATTGAGGCCATTTCCTATGAGGAAAATTTCAACATGACAGGGAATAAAACCGTTAAAGTGAAACACCCATGTGGGAAGTAGGAAATATTGGAGAATAAGTTGGAAAGTAGATTAGGACCAGTGTGGAGAAGACTTTTAATGCCTGTCTGAAGGCGAAGGACTTTACCTTTTAACATGAGTCCTTGCATGTTGAGATCACATGGCATGGGAATTGTTCCATGGATAGTGGTTAAAAATATGGGCTCCAAAGCCAGGATATCTCGGTTTGAATGCCAGCTCTACCTCTTACTGGGAAGGTAAAGTCAGGAGACAAAAGAACATAACTGTCATTTACTGTCCCATGCTTTAAACATTTCCCAGGCACCTTCTCTGTGACCGCCACTGTGCTGGGTGTGAGGGACACCCAGATGCTGAGGCTCTGCCCTCACAGGGCTCTCAGGCTCCTGGAAAAGACAGGAGAGGCACACGTGTAAAGGATTTCAGTGCAGATATCAGTACTGTGCTGGGTCTGATTGAAGCACTATGTGAGCATAAAAGACAGGGTCCATTAAACCTGCCTGAAGACGAGAAGAAAGATTACATAGCAGCGTGTTTGCATCAGGAGGGCTTGACCCAAGAGAGATGGATGAAATCCATCAGAATTTTACCTGAGGCTTATTCTGGGCTGAAAATAGTATTGCCAAGCATCACCCTAAAAGAACTTCTTTCTCTTGCAATATCATCCCCAGCTCTGCCTAAACCCCATCACCTACCCTCTCTTTTCCATCATGTTGCCTATTTAATGCTGGAATTTTCATTGAAACTACAGTTGATTTACTAAAGGTAATTAAGTGCTTCCATGTCAAAGATCTCCTACTAGACTAAATGTTGTGCCAGGAAGTGAGAGGAAGCAAATATAAATAAATGATGTCAACAGAGTAAGCTCCCTGTGGTCATGATGCTTTCCTTCCATACTGCCCCCTTTTTTTCCCCTTATGTGGAAAGATTCATAAATATATTGTTACTGTTGTTGTTCTTTCTTTATGGAGCCCCTCATCACTCTTAACAGTTTTATTTATATTTCATTATAATTATAGTAGGCTTAAAAGTATGGAGAGGGTACCAAAAGATCACCTCATAGATAAGTACAAAGGAGAAACAGGTACCTTTATAATGGGGAGAGGTCTGCTAGAAGCCTTCTGAATCCAAGTGATGAAATTGAGCATCCCAGTAATGGGAAAAACTGACATGTGCCAACATGTAGGACATATACAGCATCACCTCAGTAATAGTCTAGCTAAAATATTTAACCTCAATCCAACCATAAGGAAATAAAAAAATCCAGATGATGGGACATTCTTCAAGACAACCATCCTGAATTCTTTAAAATTGTCAATGTTATAAAACACTATTCTACAGTAAAGGGAATTAAAGAGACATGCCATTCAAATGCAAATCATGAGTCTTAATTGAAATCTGGATCAAAAAAAAAATAGCTATAAATGATTTGGAGAAGGTTAGAGAAATCTTAATATGAACTATATATTAGATAACACATTAATGTTAATTTCTTCAGTATATTAATGTTATTGTGGTTATGTAGGAAAATATTGTTTTAGAAGCAACATTTTCAACAATATGGTGAAGTGTGATGTCTACAACTTACTTTGAATCAGTGATAGATGATTGATAGATAGATGGATGTTAGATACATGATTGATAGATATAGATAGAGAGAGATAAAGATAATGCTGTAGGGAGGGCAGAATTGCCTCATGTTAAAACAGCCAGAGCTGCTATAACTGCAACAGCTGCAAGGACACCCATTCTCCCTGAGAAAGTACTGAAGCCTGCCACAAATGAGTTATCTCACAAATTCTTCCTAGGGTGGGAGAAGGAGAGTGTCATTCCTGCCCTACTAAACTTGACTGTTTCAGTGACTATAGTGGGTCTTCGAAATTTACCATTGTTGTATATCCATTTCCTTATTTTTTACCAGGCACATACGCTTTCTATTGCTGGTGAGATGAGGACCATTGTGGTAGTGATGACAAAAGCTGGCATTTACCTAAAGCTCTGCAAGTTTAAAAAGCCCAGTCACAACCACAGTATGACTGACAGATCTGGCAATGATGTCTTTATTTTTTCAGATGGG